CCAAGTCTCTGCCCTGCTCCCTTGGCCAGTCCAAGTCTGTGTCTGGTTTTTTTGAGAGGCAGCAGCATACTCCATGCTGTCCCTGCTTGTCCCTGTCTCCCCCTTTTGGGGGGTCTTCCTCTTTCCTATTGGGTCCCAAGACCTCACAGCCTGTGTCTGCTCGCTCTTGGTGGGGTTCTTTCCACCAAGAATCTTAACATTCCTCTTTGCCCCCCCATTTCTGATTCTGCTTCCCTGTCTCTCCCTCTGTGTCTCCCAGTCTGTCGCCCTTCTGGTTCTTCTCCTCTTGTAAGATCACATCTGTGGGGTCTACTCTCCAAAGACAGGCACGAATGAGTCTCAGCCCTTGGCTTCAGGAATTCAGCCCAGCGGTGGAGAGTCCTCTGTTAGCAAACACTCATGGGACCTCCAGGGTCCCTGCTGCTGAAGGGCAGAGGACCAGTCCTAGCAATCACTGAGCACTGGGCACGCTCTGTACGCTGTGCCCATATCCACTCCTTTAGGCTTCTTTACAGAGAAGGGACACCAGTGGCCCGCGATTACTCCACCGGCAAGTGGTGGAGCTGCAGTGCCATCTAGCACCCACAGGTGTGTTCTCCCTGACCCTCCCCTCCTGCCTCTCCCAGTGGCAGAGTGGTTCACACACATTTTGTGACCATGGGTGAGTGACTTAACTCCCTCGGCCTCCTCTGTAAATGGTGGCCATTGAATGCCGGCTACACAGGGTTGTGCAGACCAGATGACGCCCCACAGGATCTGGGAGGCTGACCTCATAGCCCGTGAACTCTCCGTGGAGAAGTGGGTGTGGGAGGCCTGAGGGCAGGTCCTGAGCCTCCGGCAGGGGCCAGCCTTCCAGGCTGCCCGGAGCAGGAGTCCGGCCTAGCACTGTGGCCGGGCCAAAACCACCAGGCCCAGGTAACACCTGCTGTCTCGCCCGCAGGAATCCTTGTGGCCCACTACCTCCAGAGTATCACGCCGTGTCTGGCCCTGGGCGGAGAGCTGGTCTACCACCGGCGGCCCGGGGAGGAGGGCACTGTCATGTCTCTAGCTGGGAAATACACATGTGAGCCTGGGGCCTGGGGGTAGGAGTGGGGGCTGGGACTCGGACTCCTGGGTCTGAGGGAGGGGGACCTGGGTTCCCAAATCCCCTTGGTAACCTTCCCCCACTCCCTCTTCTCTTACAGTGAACAACTGGTTGGCAACAGTAACGTTGGGCCAGGCGGGCATGCATGCGACATACTACCACAAAGCCAGTGACCAGGTGAGCTGGTCCAGAGACCGGCTGTAAGGGCACACTTCCAGGCATGGGTTGCCAGGGGTTTGTGTGCCCGGGAGTCCAGTCTGGGAAGCTGACTCTGTTGCCCTGGTCCCTCCAGCTGCAGGTAGGCGTGGAATTTGAGGCCAGCACAAGGATGCAAGACACAAGTGTCTCCTTCGGGTACCAGCTGGACTTGCCCAAGGCCAACCTCCTCTTCAAAGGTACAGGCCTCAGTTTCCCCATGTGAAAAACAGACAAGAGGTGACTCAGTTCTGAGTGGATGTAGGCCAAAGGAGATGGTAAAGGGCATCCAAAACACCCAGGAACGTTTGTTAAGAAGGTGGGGGCCTGATCCCTGAGCTTTGCCACTACTAATTCCTCCCCACCCGGCAGCCCTCTCTCATCTCTGCACTCTGCCCTTTTATTTTTTCTATAAGTGGAAGGCAAGTTGGAGCACATCCAACCTGACCCCTCTTCATCTCACATTAGTAGAAAGGAGGCTCCTATGGGTTGCACAGTCACAACCAGGCCCAGAACACCCTCCCAGGCTGGCTGCCTCTAGTCCTCATGTCCAGTCTTAAGCCTTTCTTCTTGGATATCAGTGGTTCTCTGGTTTGGAGGATATGAAGACCACCCTGAAGGCCACTTCAGTTAGCCTAGGGCAGGGCTGCTAACCAGCAGTGATGAGGCCCAGGGGTTTCTTCACCTCTAGCCTCTCAGCTTTAGCTCTTCCAGCACAGGCTGGCTTGGGGTTTCAGCTCCTCTCCTATAAAGTGAGTGAGCCTCCCTCCCATGTGGGGACGGCACTGGGCAGGTGCACATCTGCCAGGTTCTGGCAGATGAGCCCAAGAAGACAGTTCAGTCTTTCATTCAGCAGATGCTGAGCTCCCGCTGTGCCCAGCCTTGTGCCGAGGGTGCTGGGACAGCCTGTCCCCAGAGAGCGAGGACTGGGTGTGGACAGGACTGGGATAGGGGAGCCCATGGGGTGGCAGAGGGCTTCCCGGAGGGGGGTGGCGCCAGCTGAGCTGAGGGGAATAGAGCCAGTTGCTCCTAGGGCTGAAATACTCTGGGTACAGGAAGAGGTTTCTGGGAACAGCGTGGTCACAGGCCTGGAAGCCCGCAGTCTGGCTGGTGGTGTCGATGTGGCCTGGAGCACAACTCCACAGAGACAGAATGGGAAGCCGGCACATGGCTCTCAGCGCAGCTGTCTGCCCACAGGCTCCGTGGACAGCAACTGGATCGTGGGTGCCACGCTGGAGAAGAAGCTCCCGCCCCTGCCTCTGACGCTGGCCCTCGGGGCCTTCCTGAATCACCGAAAGAACAAGTTCCAGTGCGGCTTCGGCCTCACCATCGGCTGAGCCCCTCTTGGCCCCTGCCTCCCACTCCCTCCCTCCTTGAGACCTTACCTCCCCCTCCCCCTGACACGGAGGGGAGACCTAAACGCCCCTCCCTCTCCTTTCCCTCCCTCCTTGGTGGTCAGGGGGGCAGCAGAAAGGAGGGGGGCCATCACCCCAGCAGCTGAAAGGGGAATTCTGGAGCCATGGGCACTTCAGGATTCAGAGCACCAGAGGCTGTGTGCCCAGTGGGCCTGGGGTCCCAGAGGGGGTTCTGGAACCGAGGGGCGCGCCAGGTTCTGAGCACCAGGGGCAGAGGCGGCCAGACAACCTCAGGGAGGTGTTGGGGCATCTCCACCCCCCAAAGGGCCCTGGGGCCCTGCCCCAAGGGGGCAACAAGAAGAGGAGCTTCCCCATCCCAGGTCTGCCCCCACCCACTTTCCCATCCACTCCTCGGTATAAATCATGTTTATAAGTTATGGAAGAACTGGGACATTTTACAGAAAAAACAAACAAACAAAAAATATACATGGAAAAAAAATGAAATGAGGCCTCGCTTTCCTACCTGTTTTCCCCTTTGTTCATTCCATCCAGCCTGGTGTTCCCACGGTGGCCAGCAGGGGGTGCCGCAGGGCTGGAGCATGGAAGGATGACCCCGAAAGGGGGTCAATCCTGAGTGCTCTCAGGAGCCCAACTTGGACAGGGGAAGGGCCTGGCCCAGGATCACAGCCTCCCTGGGACATCACAGGCCTTCCCTCTCCAGGAGGGTGTGGTTTTGTCACTGGCTCCAGCTTGTCCTGGCCAGAGGGGCCTCAGCATTGATCTCAACTTGTGAAAAACAACAGCTGGATTCATGTAACAGCTGTTAGGGAGGTGATAGTGTTAGAGCTCTGGTGTGCAGAGGATTTGGGGCTTTCAGAGCAGAAGCAAGGGGGGGGGCGGTCAGCGCAGGGGTGAGAGTGGCAAGCTGAGATTCCAAAAAGGGCAGGGAGTGTTGGAGTGACTTCTTCCTGGTAGGGAAGTTAGAGCTTCCAGAAGTTCCTGAAGGATACAGGCCGCTGGAAAGATTTCAGAATCACTGCCTGGAGGGGGAGAACTGCTTGAGTTTAGGATTCCTGTGTTAGGGGGAGGGGCTGGAGTCTGAGTGGTCCAGATGGGGGGTGGAGGCCAGGTCACCTGTGTCTCAGGTGTCTGATGCTGAGAGGAGGAGAGATCAGTTGGCCCACCTAGGACTCAGGTAAACACACCCCTGACTACTCCTGATGGGAACTGAAACCCTGTCTGCCACCCACACCGATACCCAGGGTCTGGGGAGGAAGGCTGCTGGGCAGAAATGAACCCTTACTGCCTGCGAAAGTCACAGTGCCTGTTCCCCATTGGCACCTTCTGAGATCAAACAGACCTGGCTGACACTGAGGCGCCCTCCTGGGACCAGGCATTTGGCCTCCCCTGACCCCATGGAATCCAATCCCAGCTGCTCCAGTTCTTCCTGTGTGGCCTGGTGAAACAACAGCTGGATTCATGTAACAGCTGCTAGGGAGGTGGTGGTGTTGGAGCGCTCATTATGGCCAATTGCAGCAGTTCGATCTAATAAAGACCCGTTGTGGGCCAAGGTTCGTATTACTTCATACATAGGGTACAGCAGTTTCTCGAGGAACATTTTGTTCGTCATTTTTTTATAATATTGATGAGGTGCTGTAGGAGTCTAACTCTTGTTTAGGTCAATTAGCCCTTGGTAAAAATTGGTTTCATTAAATGTTTGCCGCACTTCCTGGGACCATCTGTCGATGGGGTTAAAGGAGGACTTAATATAGCCTCTTGCATCATTGAACGATGGTGTAAGTGTAGCTGTTTCCCCTGTTTTGTGGAGCAGAGGCTGCATGTTCAGAGAGACTTGGTCATTTGCCCAAGGTCACACAGCTGGCAAGGGACAGAGCCCAGATTCAGGCTGGGCAGTTTTGTTCCAGAGTCCCTAGTCCTAACTAGGCAGCATGAAAGCTCCAAGCCCTGTGGAAGGCCCCATATTCGGGCAGCTCCTGGAATCCACAGTGCTTGTGCTGGACTTTGAATTCGCAAATGTGGACGGGCTCAGAGAGGCACACATCTGTGCCCAAGGTCACAGCCAAAGGGAGCTAGGACTAACACCCAGGTTTCATTCTCAAAACCTAGGCTTTTAAGCCCTGGCCTGGTAGCTCAGTTGGTTAGAGCGTCATCCCTGTAAGCCAAGGTTCGATCTCCCAGTCAGGGCACATATAAGAATCAACCAATGAATGCATAAATAAGTGGAACAACAAATCGATGCTTCTCGCCCTTTCTAAAATAATTTAAAAACCCAAAAAACCTCAGCTTTTAGTAGATGCATTACACTGTCCCCACCCCTCCCATTTCATTTCTGCCACCAGTTCCTCTTTTTCAGACCCAGGAATCCAAGCCCTCACCCCCCTCCTTCCTCTGACCCAGGATTTCAGCCCTCAGTCCCCTCCCCAAATTTTACTCATCCAGTGACTGCCCGCTCCTTCCCATGCCCAGCCCCCTAGAATGGAGGAGGGCTCCTGAGTTACTAGGTAAGATGTCACCTCCCCTCCTAGGGACTGGGGGCATCACAGAGCCTCCAAGCCCCACCCCCTTCCCCCTCCTTGCGGTGTGAAGGGGGAGAACAGCCCACCTCGTGACTGGGGGCTGGCCTAGCTCACCCTAGCCCTGGAGGAGTGGGCGGGGCAGGGGGAGCCCTATAATTGGAGGAGTCTGGGATCCCTGAGTCCTACTCAGAGCAGAGGCGAAGGACCGGTTGTTCAGGAGCTGGTGAGCAGAATTGGGGACACAGAAATCAGCTCAGAGCCTGGGGGGAGTGGGTAGGAGGTGACCATCCTATGCCCGAGTCAGAACAAAAGCAGGAGCTGGGGATGAATCTGGAGGCTGGGGACGACCTTGGGGGTGGGGGCACAGGGGCATCTCAAATTGGCTAGAAGGTGGGGTGGGGGAGCATCTGGACCTGTGGAAGAACCAGATGAGCCATAGCAAGAGCCCATAAATTGTCACCCATTTATTGAGCACCCACTGGGTTTCCCCTTCGTCCTCAGATCTCCATTAACTGGAGGCTCGGGGGTAGTGAGAGGGTAACTAGAGCATTGGGAGGACTTTTAAATTATTAAATTACCTAATATGTGAAAGAGCGGCGCTTAGGTGTAAAGATGGAACTTAGAACATGAAGGTAGAGCAAGGAACGCAAGACTGGAATTTAGAGCACCCAGCTGGGGCTCACCTGTGGCTCTGGGAGGAGGGGTGAGTGGAATTTGAACCCTGGGAGGGGGTGGAATTTTGGCCAGGAGGCCAACCTTGGCATGAGCAGATAGGAGAAGACAATGAGGGAGCTAGACAATGGAGGGGCTGCTAAGTAAATGTGATGAGATTTGGATGATGCAGGTCTGGGGCTGAGGCCTTCAAGGCCAGGACCCAGTGGGTGGGGCTCTGAGTGGGAGGGGTCCCCACTGGCTATTGATTGACAGTTTCTCTCTCCCCCAGACTGACCTACGCTGAAGATGAAGGTTCTGTGGGCTGCGTTAGTGGTCACACTCCTGGCAGGTATGGGGTGGTGCTTGCTCTGGTTCCCTGCCCTTCCCTCTCCCGTCCTCACCTGCACCCCCTGACCCTTTCTATCCCTGTGTCACTTCTGCTGGTCTCTAACCCTTGAGAGGAGGCCCAGGTCTGAGCCTTCTTCTGACATTCATTGGCTCTGAGCAGCTGGGTGACTCTCAGGGCCTCAGTTTTGCCATCCTTGAGATGGGACTTATAACAGTTTCCAGTGCACTGTTGTCAGGCAGGTAGTGAGCTCAAATAAATGTCAGCTGTGATTATCTTTACTCTCTATTACCCCAGCATGGAACACACACAGACACGCAGTAAATGCTTGTCAGGTGATGAAACAGGCTGGCCGTCCTTCCACCACTCCCTACCCACCAAGTACTCTAAAGAAGCACAGGAGCATTCGTGGAGCACCTACTATGTGCCAGAAGAGGGCAGGGGGCCTTGACGAATTTGCTCCACACAGGATGCCAGGCCAATGTGGAGGAGCAGGTGAATCTGGTGCAGGAGCCAGAATGGTGGCAGTCCAGCCAGCCCTGGGAGCAGGCGCTGGGCCGCTTCTGGGATTACCTGCACTGGATGCAGACGCAGTCTAACAAGGTGCAGGAGGAGCTGCTCGGCACCCAGGTCACCCAGGAACTGAAGTGAGTGTCCCCGCCCTGGCCCCTGGCCCTCCTGGTGGGCAGTTCCTTCTGGGCCCTCAGCTTCCACTGGTCTGGAACCCCGGGGGGCCTGTTCATTTCTTGCCTCCTGTTCCCATTTGGAACTGGCTTTGCCTCTCTGATCCTTCCTGAGCGCTTCCTGTCTCTGGCGTGTCCCTTTCTGTCTCCCAACATCCTTCTAACTCATCTGCTCGGCTCTGCTCCTATCTCTGGTCTCCTCCTCTTGGCCTCTGTTTCTGTTGGGTGTCTCCGTCCATGTCCCCATCTTGCCCGCCCCCCATCTCTCGCCCTTTTCCAATCTCCACGCA